TTTAACAAATGTCTTCAAAGTAAAAAGCGTGGACACACCCGACACCAGCCGCCAGTCACCGTTCCATCTGCAAGTGCCTGCTGTGCCTTCGCCAGGTCACGTCTTGAGGCTGCTGGGGGCACAGCCAGGAACAGGACAGAGACCCGACCCCAGGGTGCTCCCGCTGCCTGCGGCTGTTCCATCTTGAGTCCCCCCTCCGCAGAGGGTGTGTCGGGGACGCAGTGACAAAGATGAAAGGCCATGGATAATTCGTGCACTCAGACCTGGCTTTACTCTAAGAAACCAGGCTGACGCAGAGGCCGCCTCTGGTTCTAGAACCAAGGGCCTCTGCAATCACCGCACATCGCACCGGGAGCGGGGGACGGGCGCCTGTCACGGGGGTGCAGATTCCAAGCTGAGCCCAGCCCCCACGCCCAGGAAAGATGCTGCCGACCCCCTCCTCCTCGTGACCTCGTCCCCTCCACTGCCTTCCCGAGGGCCCTAGGGCCAGGTCAGGAGCATCGGACCGAATCCGGGGGAAACAGAAGTCCCAGAGCGTTTTGCTGGGCGATCGGGTTGGCGGCAGCTGAGCCGGCCTCACCGGGCCGCCTGCAGTCAGCGGGCCTGGGGCAGACGCGCGCTCGACGCCGGCACGCAGCCCCGAGCCGCTGCGGAACGGGTTGCTTCCTGAATGCTTGGCTTCTTAGCGGCCGTCACTCAGCCGGGAAAGGAAAAATCAGCCCTGGACGAACGCTGGCCTCGTCCCCACCGCGTTCTCTGAGCTGACCGCAGGGAGCTGTAAGGCAGGTGGTGGCCCAGCAAGGGCCCAGCAGTCTCCTCGGCTCCCTGCAGCCAGGCTGGGCGGGGACCCAGCTTGGCCTGCACAGATGTGGCCCAGCACCTCCCCTCGACGCCCTGCTCGCCCTCGGCTTCTGACGGCTGTGCAGGGCTGCTTGTCACCGCCTGTCGGAGCCGCGAGGCCCGCGGTCAGACACTGGGCGCGTTTGGCTCCCACGGAGCACGGCGCGGTCTGGGGACGACAGGGGAGGCGGCACCCCCGCTGCTCCCTTCACACGGTGGCATCTGAGCAGGGCGCGGTGCCTGCAGACGGCACCGAGAACACCCTGCAGAACCGCTGCTCTGCGGGGCAAGGACAGTTGTGGAATCGCCCATCCGTGACGGTCGCTCCCGCTGGACTGGCGCTGCTGGCTCCAGCCCCGCTCATCAGGGAGCCAAGGTCAAGGGCGCGTCCACCTCGGCGCACTGGTCAGCGCAGACCATCAGTGGCGCAAGTGGTCCCGCCCGGGACCGGAGGCGGCGCCTGCACCCTGGTCTTTCTGAGCCGCCGCTACCACCTGAGCGGCTGGCGGCCCCGCTGCAGCTCGGCGGCCACGTGGCGGTCGTGGAGCTCCTTCAGGCGCAGCAGCAGCTCCTCCAGGTTCTCCCCGGTAGCCGCCGACAGCGCGATGGCCGTCGGGCCCAGGCGGGCCCGCAGCTCGGGCAGCTTGGCTCGCGCCTCAGGGAGGTCGATCTTATTGGCGACGATGACGTGGGGTCTCTCAGACAGGCCCTCCTCGTACTGCTCCAGCTCGTATTTCAGGTGGTCCACCTGGGCCCAGGGCTCGGGCGCCGACAGGTCCACCACGAACAGCAGGAAGCCGCAGCGCTCGATGTGCCTGAGGAAGGCCAGCCCCAGGCCCCGGTTCCGGTGCGCGCCTCGGATGATGCCCGGCACGTCGGCCACTGTGGGAGACAGGGTGGGGACGCCAGGGACCCAGGCTGCCTCTGGGCCCGCTCCCTGAGACTTCCCTTTCAAGGAACGCTCACATCCTGCCGCGGTGACTCATCGGGCCACCCGCCACCCGAGGCATTTCAGTTTTGAGTTTTACAAAATGTCTTGAAATATTTGGGTGACAGGCATGATAACGGATCAATCTAATAAGGAATATTTATTCACTGGAATTATACCTTCCAGTCTTTCTGGCTTCAAAAATGACTTAAAAAGGGGGAAATGGCTTCCTGCAATCTATGAATAATTTGATTACCGATACAAATTATTTCAGAGTACTTCGGGAATGTAAAGTGCCATATGAATAACATTAGCAGCAGGCTTACTATTTTTAATGGGTACATTATCTTCTGAGAGAAGTTTCCTCCCGTCAGAATGGTACAAAGCAAGCTTTAAAATCGCACGTCTGCACGGCTGACACGGCCAAGTCCCCCACAGATCAAGGAGGAGAAGACAGGCAGCGAGAAGGCAGAAGCTCTCGACTGGCCTGGCGAGTAAACGCAAATCCCTCCTGGGGCTCTAGCCAGCAGCTGCCTGGGGGGCGGGGCGGGGAGCAGAGCTGGAAGGAACCACAGGTTTGCACCAGGACAGTGGCGCCCCGAGCTGCCCGCACTCTACCGCGGCCCTCTGCGGGGCCCTGGGAGCTCTACCTGCGACCTGCTGGTGGTCCTCGTAGTGCACGATGCCCACGTGCGGGCCCAGGGTCGTGAACGGGTAGGCGGCCACGGCGGGCTTCGCGTTGGAAATGGCCCGGAGCAGCGAGGACTTCCCCGCGTTGGGGAATCCGACCTGGAAGAGAGGGAGGTGCTCAGCCTGTCCCCGGTTGGGGACAGAGGTCAGGGCGCGTCTCAGTTCAGGAACTGGGCAGATGAGGGCACGGTTCCTGTCCAAAGCCACAGGACGCCAGCTGGAGAAAGGTTAGCTGTCACTCTCTTCCAGGCTGGTGGCATGTTCTACCAGCAGAAACTCGGTGTGTGACGAGCCACCCCTCCCCCCGGGCTTCAGGGGACACTCACCATCCCAGCGTGGGCCATGGTCTTGAGCTCTAGGAGGAGGACGCGCTCCTGGCCGGGCTGGCCGGGGGTGCAGGTCATAGGGGCGCGGTTATCGTTGGCCAGGAAAAAGCGGTTGCCCTTTCCTCCGGCCCCGCCCCGCGCGGCGATGTACTCGTCACCCGGGCACGACAGGTCAGCCAGGACTGCGTTGCCCTCCTTCACCACGGTGCCCACGGGGACCTGGAAAACAGCGACGTGTTTACGCTTACGGGTGAAAGGGAAGCTTGGAGAGTGGCCGGACCCAGTGTCCTTGCCGGTCTGGGAGGGGGGCAGCGGGCGCAGAGCTAAGCGCCCCTTTGCAGAGCCACGGAGCACCGGAACGGTCCCAGCTCTCAACAGGTGTTATGGGCCTGGTGACACCCGCAGTGTTTCTGAAACTCGAGGGTGACCTGAAGCATCGGAAATGCTGTGGCAGCTCGAGAGAAGGAGTCCGCTCTTGGCTCGAAGGAGCTGTTTGGAGGCAGGAGTCGGGGGGCCCGGGGACCTGGGGGGGGCCTGGGGCCGGAGTCTGGAGGCTGGGGGGCAGGGACTGGGGCAGAGGGCGGCCCGGCTGGGCAGGCGAGAGGGGACAGGGTGTGGGTTTCCTCTTGTGAAAATGCGACAATCTTGTGACTGAACGGGCCACACGTGTGCGTGGATAAGGTCAGCACGTCTGGTCCGGGTCTGCCTCGCTGGCACAGCTGTGCACACCAAGCGGAGGGCTCCCCAGACCACAGCGCAGACCAGGAGGTGCCCAAAGGCCTGGAAACAGGGGAGCAGGGTGCGCTGACCCGGATGTAGAGAAGAGCGCCGCTTCGCCCAAAGCAGTTCTTCCTGCCGCCGTCCTCTCCGTGGAAACCCCGGTACTGCGACAGAACCGACGACAGCGACTTGACTTGCCCATCGGCTGAAAGTCAGAGCAAGAGCCCCGTGGTCCTCTGTGTCAGAGACAGAGCGGCCCCCGCCGTGCAGCCCCGGGATGCTCGGGGATGCTCGGGGATGCGCTCGGAAACGCGCTCGGACCGTAGCGCAAGCCACAGAGCTACGCGCTATTTTGAAAGCTAAATTCCTATCTTCTTTCAAAAAATACTGCAATTTCTGAAAACTTCAAAATTACCCATAATACCGTCAATTAAAAATAGTGACACTTTATGTTGCGAATGTTTACAATTTAAAACAGCGACACTTGATTATGTTCTGACGTTGACGCAGGTTCCAGTTTCCTGAGCGTCTGTGCTGTGTCAAAGGTAATCGACCGCCACAGCACCTGCTGGGAGTGACACTTGTCCTGCTGGCACTTGTCCTTTGAGGGGGTCTTACTACAAAGACAGATCCCGACAGCAAACTATCTCTGTGGTCCCGAAATTAAAAAAACACGCAACCCACTATGAAGTTGGTTTCTGGCACATCATTTAAATGGGACCATCTACAACGTTTAGCAAAAACGACGTCCACGCACCCATTCGTGAATCCAGCTCTGCACTAAGGTTACTCTGCCTCAAAGGTGTGGACGCAGGAACCTGCTCTGAGCTGCCCCTTGGCACGTACCTCTCAGGATGATGTCGCCGCCGTGGCCACCATCACCGCCATCGGGGCCTCCAAACTCCTTCCGCGGCTCGCTGTGGAAGCAGCTCGCTCCGTCCCCACCGCGTCCCCCGCAGACGAGCACCCGGCGACAGTCCACGAAGTGCCGCTTCTGCGGAGAGCACAGCACGCCCCAGGGTTGTCAACTCCGCCGCCCCTTCAGATCCCAGCGGCCCTGGGAAACGCAGCCTCCCTCCCCAGCACCGCTTCAGCCGAGAAGCTAAGGACAGCAGTGCAGCTGATCGCTCCTAAAATGCAAACACGAGAGACAGCGGGCACCGTCCCTACTCTGCAGGCACCGGGAGGCAAGAGCACAGGCGTGGGGGACACGGCCCACGGTGGGGCCGACCTGAAGGAAATGGTCCTTAAATAACACATCTTTCGAGCTTTTTCCAGACAGAAACACATTCCTGGAATAACAGGTCTTTACTAATGGCAAGTTCTAGTTCGTGAGGGCGCAGCAAGAGTACCGTGCCTGGATGAGCACAGGGCTCCCGACGGTGCAGAAAGGACATTTTCTGCGGCCTGACTGAATGGGATTTATTTTTTAAGTGGAGCGACATGAACGAAGCCCCTGATCTGAGGCTGTTTCTCTCCTGGTCCCTGAGGGAGGCAAGGTCAGGCTGCGGAAGCAGAACTCTGCGGGTTCCCGGTTCACAGGCATTGGCCATCGGAGAGGCCGGGCGCGGTGTCAGGGGGCCAGCGCCCAGGACATCCTGCCCAGGAGACCGCCTGCTTCCTGTGCTGGGGCACCCGCATCTCCATCCGCTCCTCCACGGGCAGGTCTTAAGAAAATACGCAAACATTTCAGATTCTCTGGCGCCACCATATGGAGAAACCATGAATTGCTACTTACAGAACTCAACGTGCAACTTCACCGTAAGCCAACGTAATCAAAATCAACCTGGCACTGACGAGCACGGTAGGAAGAGAACCTTAGATTCTATTTTCATGTTCCGGGGAAGAGACGGAACCACGCAGGAACCACACTGCCAAAGGAGTGTTTCCACTGGGGGGCACTGCTTATCTGGACCCCCCATTATGAAGGGTCTGAAATGGGTCACAAACACGTCTCGTCTTGACTCTAATTATACATCTTTCGAGTTTTACATGAGGTCCCTCCCCAGTGACGTCTTACGTTAAGAAACATACACACACAGCCAAGAATATCTGTAACACACGCAGACCACACACAGCCCGATGACAAATGGCACCCAGGCCTCGTCAACGCATGGGCGCCCTGGCACTTCCCCGGAGCTGCTGTATGTAGTTCCTGTGACAGCTCAGGATTGGATGCACGGGGCCCGCATTTCGCGTCATCATTTTTAAGACCTACGTGTGTCCCTTTGATAACGTGATCAGGATAAACGAAGGCCAGATGATGAGAGCTCGAAACAGCTCCTGTGCCTTCTGAGAGGAAGGCTGCAGGCAACTCCTGCCGGCCAGAAGTCTCACCAGTTTTTTCTCGGAGAGCAGTTTCTTCCTGGAGGGTTCCTGGTGCTTGGTGCAGTCCGCATGGCTGAGGGAAAGAAGCCTGGGAAGGAGCCGGCCAGGCCCGAGGACCGCCCGTGGGGGCAGCGGCCCGTGCCTCACGCCCTCCAATACAGCCTGCCATCCTGCCAGGAAGAGCCTCGAAGGCACCATGGCTCCCTAACAAAAGTCAAATTGGCAGAATAAGGTGTCTGGTGTAAATCGGAATAGCAAACAAACCAAAATCCTGACGTATGTTGTTGAAACAAATAAGCAAGCTGATGACCACGCCCTTCTTATGTCACCCACCACTCCCACCCCGAGCCTCGAAGGGCCATGGGCCCCCATCTGCCTACGTGCTACGCGGGGGCGAGACCTGTGCGGGAAGAGCTTGAATCATAAAACCTCCCGCAACACTGGAAGGTCAAATATCCGCTGAACAGAAATACCAACAAGGAACTCCGAATTCCTTAAAAATAAAAGCACCCACTCACTCGCATGCTACTGTGCTTCTTGTGTAGTTTGTTTACTTATTTATTCATTTTTTAGGTGAGGCAACCCTTGGTTGACCTCACAGATTGCAAGGACCTTGTCAGCTTACAATCTATTATTTTTTTATTTTTTACGCCTACAGCATCTGGTCTTCCTAGGTGGTCTCCCATCCAAGGACTAACCAGGCCTGACCCTGCTTAGCTTCCGAGATCAGACGGGATCGGGCTCATTCAGGGTGGCATGGCCGCAGACTTGTGCAGCTTAAATGGTCAAACTGGACATTAAATAACTCTTCTAAATAATCCAATAAGTAAAAGGAGAAATCGAAAGACAAATGAGAAGATATTTTGGACTGAATGACGAGAGGGTAACACACCAGGTTTAAGGGCGCAGCGAGTGATGTTTACAGGGGACCGCGTGCAGGCGGGCCCCTTGTCCGTGGGGGCAGGGGGATGCGTTCCAAGACCCCCAGTGGACGCCTGCAACCACGGGCAGTGTAAACCCTGTAGATGCTGTTTGTACCTCTACATACATACCTATAACAAAACTTAATTTATGAATTAGGCACAGTGAGAGATTAACAATAACTAATAATAAAATAGAACAATTACAACAACATACTATCATAAAAGTCATGTGAATCTGGTCTCTCTCTCTCTCGTAACCCAGGTGGCTACTAAGTGACTGTCAGGCAGGATGCGTACACAGCGTGGAGACGCCGGACACGGGGTGAGTCACGTCCCAGTCAGCACTGAGCTGATGATGGGACATTTCATTGCACTACTCTGAATAGCATGAAATTTAAAACACGAACTGTTTATTTCTGGAATTTTCCCTTCAATATGTCTGAACTTCTGACTGTGGGTAACTGAAACCATGGATAAGGGGGGCTTCCGGGGCTCTAAATGCTCGTATCACTAAAGAAGAAAGATCTAAAATCAGTCACTTAAGGTTCCAAATCAAGAACGAGAAAAGCAAAGTAAACAGAAGGAAGGAAACAATAAAGAGCGGAAATAAACAACACAAAATTCAGAGACAACAACCTGCTGAAAATATAAACAGAGCGGACAGACGCTCCGCCGGAACCGTCAGGAAGGGAAGGGCGGAAACCGCCAACACCAGGAACTAAACAGCCGAGTCCTGCAGACACCACAGGGCGCGAGAACATGACGATCAACCTTCTGCCAACAAATTTAACTTACACAAAACGCGCCTGTTCCTGAGAGATGCAACTTATCCAATAAAACACAGAAGAAACAGAAACGCTGAACAGCCCTGTAACTACCAAAGAGGTGGAATTTGTCATAAAAGAATCTTCCCAAAGAGAAAACTCCAGAGTCAGGCTGTTTTACTGGTAAATTCTATCAAGCATTCGAAGAAGAAACAACGGCAATGCCACGAACTCGCAGGAGACAGACCCGGAGGCTGCTACCCCGCCCACTCGGAAACCCGACATTACGCTAAAAGGAAATCACGGCCCAGCGACCCTCGTGAACACAGGTGCCAACGATCCTTGACCAAAGCGTGTCCACCTGAGTCCCCCGTGTGGAAGGAGCACACGCCGCCACCAGGACGGCTGGTTCCTGGAACACGAGGCTTCGTGGCAGTGGGCACCCCAGCCCCCGCCTCGCACTGGCGATCTCACGCGGCTGCAAAGCTCGGCACCCACTCGGGATTAGAGAAATGAAACTAGCAACGGAAGGGGACAGCTTCGACCCGACACAGGGCATGTGCGAAAGGCCCACGGCGGGCAGCACGCTGACCAGAGAAAGACCCGACTGTGGGCCCCGGAATGGAGAAGCAGGCGAGGACGCCCCGTCCGCCACTGCTACGCAACACTGCCCTTCAGACACAGCGATAAAGGTTCTTTTTCAAAGAAAGGAGACATAAAACCATAGAAGGGATGACCGTTTCCAGAGAAATCTACGAAAGCTGAGATTTAATGCACTGAGCAAATCTGCAGATTAGAGGTTAACACACGGAAAGCAGCTGCGTTCTCATACACGAGCAGTAAACAACCGGAACGTGAAGCTGACGAACCACCGCCACCGAGGGTGACGCCAGTTACAGAAAGTCCCTGCGAGTCAGTTTCACAGCGTGTTCCAACCCTGACCTCGCCATTTGCAAGACGCTGCTCCTGGTACTTTTCAGGGATTGACTCAGTCCTCCTAACACCTCCAGAACGCCGAGGAAACTGAGGCGAGAGACGAAGTGACCTCCCCGAGGTCCCAGCTGCTGGGTGGGAGGGGCAGGGGCGGCGCAAAAACAGGTTGTTAAAGGGAAAGAAACAACAGACCGAGCAGCGGCGCGTGGCGGCTGAGCCGGTGGGACACGAAGCCCGAGGATGGACCGCAGAGTGAGGGCAGACCTGAGTCCGGCCTCATTTGCCCACTTTTCACCCTCGCCCATGCCCCTGAGCGACGTGGCCCCTCGCCGGGCGGGCACGGTCAGCTCCGTCCCGCACTGTCTGGTCTTTCTTTTCCTCCTAATGCTATACGGGTGCTGTCCGATGAGGACACCCCCAGCCACAGGCGGCTTTACGTTTAAATTCATGAAAACTTTTAAAAACGTAAAAACTCAGTTGCTCAGTCACCCAGGGCACATTCACGCGCTCACAGCCACCTGGGGCCAGGAGGGACCGTACTGGACAGCGCGGACTGGAACAGCTCCGCCGTTACAGCTGCTGGACAGCGGCGGTCTGCGCGGTGCAGCGGGGCCTCTGACCGCAAATTCCTCCCGGGGCGCTCGCTCACCGGCCGGGTCAGCGGCGTGGAAAAGCCAGGACAGCAGTGAAGGCCGGGCGGGCGGGGAGGGGGCCACGGTGCGGCAGGAAGCTCCTCAGACCTTCTATGGACATTTTAAAATTCCTTCCTTACGACCACCCCGACCACCCCGTGACGGGGGATGCTGCCCAGGGCGACCTCCCGGCACTCTTCCGGACCCACCTCCAGCGCTGCCTGCTGGGGGGGCTTCCTGCACCCCTCGGCCCCTAGACTGAAGGCTGCACGCCCCCAGTCGAGGAAGCCCTGTGTGCACTGCCCTCTTCTGGTTCTGTGACTGCCCCTCCTGCTCTCTGGTGCTGTGGACAGAACAGGGGCCACAGACTGATCCTGACAAGCTCAGGGGAGGCCGCGTGGTGGCCCAACCGACTCAGAAAGTCAGCACAGGACAGTCTGAACATACACATTCCTAAATGAGAGCGGGTCGGGGCACAGTCACGTCCTAGGCCTGTCGCTTCCTTGGCAAAGGTCAGTCTTTACTTGAAGTGAGCCTGTCTGTCGTCTTTGCGCATCTAAGATCCCACACGTGCCTCTGAAGTGCTGGGGGGGGCTCTTCTGCAGACACCTGAGGCGCACCCCAGAGCACAGAGCCTTCACGGCCAGCACCTGTGTGCTGTAAATGCTACTATCTACCTGTACCCACCCTCGTCAGACAAGACTGCCTCTCCGTTTTACCTCTTATCTGACCCCAGGGATGTCCCCGCTTTGCTTTCTCCTCTCCCTTAATCTACCACCGATGGATGTCAAGTCACCCCATTTCCGTCTCCTCCTTTGATTCCAATATATAAAATAAGCTGCCAAACCACCATCTTCAGAGCAAGATCTCAGTCCTCTGAGATTTTGATTCCTGGCAATTGACGTCACTTTGGTTCAAATAAACTCATAAAAATTCTCTACAGGTTTGAATGTTTCTTACTGCGAGTGTCTGGGATAGAAGCCAGTCCAGTGCCACCTCTACCGTTTGCGGGCACTGTCCCCTTCCAACAGTGCCTTTAGAAACCTTCCTTAAATTATCCTTATGCGATGGGGCCTTGACTCTTGACCTGTACATTTTTTATGCCCATTTTAAGCAGGGGGAGGCTGAGACTCAGAGAGGTTGTCACTTGTCCAGAGCCACACTGCATCCTCTGCCCTCTCTGGCACAGTGCTGCAGCGGGAATCTGCAGACACAGCCACCTGCCATGGGAACCAAGGCGAGGATGACTCCGAAGGAAGCAACTGTCCGTCCCTCAACTTCTGACGTTCTCTCCGCTGAAACAGATCGGCCTGAGCCCGCACTTCAAACGACTGCGTCCTGTTTCCCCGAGGCTCCAAGCCTTTCCGAAAGGAACCGCTAGCGACGCCTTCTTGCCCCCACGGGCCTCTGTGAACGAGACTCCTGGGTCCATGGCCACGAAAACCGAGGCCGCAAACCCCGACCTCACTCGGCGAATCCCGCTCACGGCTCAGTGACCCCGCGGGGACACGCGCCTCAGCGAGAGGCGCATTTACGGTGGAACTTCGTTCCTGTTTAATGAAATGTCTACCAAAATGTGCCTGCGCCGGTAATAATTACGCCGACAAAGACGTTGAGTACTTAGGACTTGGGGTCAAGAGACTTGTCTGAACAACTTCGGGTTCACCACGCGGGCGGCGGGAGGGGCCCCCAGCCCGCAACCCGGCGCCGAAGGGCGGACCCGCTCGTGCGCAC